AATCTGGCCCTCCAACAGTTTGAGGGACTGTGACCTGGCCCTCTGTTTAAAAAGTTTAAGGACCCCTGGTTTATCCTAAGAATCCAAAACCTGATTAGCCACAAGGTGACTTTGAGCAAGGCACACTTCTTCAACCAAGGCCCCATCTACACTGCCGTATAACCCAGTTTCAGAATGTAGAATAACTGCATTGGACTGGCTCATATGGCAGTGTAGACTCATATAATTCAGTTCAATGTGTTCAAGCTGCATTGTATGAGTCTATACTGAGCATTATAATGCAATTCAAATTGGATTATATGCCAGTGTAGACAGAGCCTTAGCTTGCTTCACAAGACTCTTGTGAAGTTAAACTGAAATGATTCCTGCTAAACTACTTTGAGTTCAGTGGAACAATGATGGATACAACTATAGCAATTAAATCACGGATTTAATGTCCAAAGCACTCTGAAGGCTAGATAATTATGTTCACAGAGAGATGTTTCTACTTCCTCATAATTATAGCCCAGATTAGGTTGGAGTCTGGACTTTCATGAGTATTTCATAGAAAACTAATCACACACATTGTTCCTGGTGTACATGTAGATAGATACATTTAACCTTGACCAAAGTTGCTTAATTACATGAGTATTGGGTTGTTGTAGGTTTTTTCGGGCTATATGGCCATGTTCTAGAGGCATTCCCTCTAGATATTTTGCCTGCATCTATGGCAAGCATCCTCAGAGGTTGTGAGGTCCTCTAGAACATGGCCATGTAGCCCGAAAAAACCTACAACAACCCAATGATTCCGTCCATGAAAGCCTTCAATGATACATGAGCATTTTTGGGAAAAATCCTGTCTTGTATTACTCAGTCCACAAAAAGAGTCTACTGCACTGTGAATGTGGGTTTGTCCACTGCTTTGTAAAAGAAACAAATGGATTCCGTGCAATGTTAACTGATTCTGGATCACTAAACCATTGCTGGCCTCAATTATTTTGTTTCCCAGCCAAGTATTATACTGTTGGCCCCACGTCCTTATTGGACTGTGGTATGTCTAGACCTCACAACCTTATGGTCGCATGAGTGAGGGATTGCAGTTCATCAATCTCATCTTCTCTTGCCCCCAATATTGGGATTCAACAAATACACCTTTACTTTGCTTCCACAGTATTAATCTGATTCAGTTTTGCGGCATGATGAAATATTATGATACTTGATTTTTAATAGAAATAACTATCCTGATGATATTTTGCATAATGCCAATATATGTAATTGATGAAACTGAGTATCATTGACATTCTTGATGGATTTGCTGTTGTGTTCAGAAGGATATGGATAGCAATCTATATAACTGGCACCTGCCCATTAAACAAAAGAAAATACTGTGAAAGGGTTAAATCAAACCACTAATTCTAACTGTATTAATTTAAAAAATGTGTTACAGTGCACAGCAAAACATCTTCTGTTTTTTTATTCATTTGTCTTATTGTTTTGGTTCCTTTTTACCAACTGGCAACTAAAATTAAACAAAATTAAAGCTTGAGATTAAAGTTAAACAGGGCAGTCATATCCTCACCATTTTGTGTGGCTTGTTAGCACTTGGTTTTCTGTAGGCAATGTTTGCTATAAGGATATACAAGTCTTGCAACAAATTTCACAGCAGTGGTATCCTTGTATAGACTGAATAAAGGTTATTTTCTACAGGGAGGTATCTTATAAGAAAAAACAGTAGGGGAGGCCATAGAAGTGAGAGGATCCTATGGAGCTTTTTGTATTTAACAACAATCAATGGGTTTTATGGAAAATCATTGAGCAAAATGTGAGCTGCAAGCTCACTACCCCATACTGATGTTATTTATAACCTCAGTCTTAAACTGCAGGAAAAGTACACTTCCGTTCTATGGGGAATACATTAAAAGTATAAAGAGCAGATAAAAAGACAGAGCATTTCATGGATCACCAAGAACAAAATCCACTTAAATGAGCTTAGAGTTGGTTTTCTGGCTTTCACTGATGGAGAAGGACTACGAGGCATTGCCCAAGAGGAAAAAGCTGTTACCTAAGTGTGTTTGTTACCTCATGCATAAACATAGGATTAGTGTAACACACATACATGAAGACATAGGGGCTTCGCTCTCAAGACCTTTAACTCTATTAAGACGGCTTTGTTTTTTATTATTTTGTCATGCTCAGAGTACGATTCTTCTCCCTCTAAATACCTGTTCTTTTCTTTTAAAAAGAGTACGACACATGATTAATCCTTGAAAGTCTAGAAACATCGCCATTGACAAGACACACACGTACACACACACACTGTCCACAGTCTCTTCAGCATTGCCCAAGAAAATCGTCATTAACATCTTAGATGTGAAGTGCAAGCAATGGTACTACAGGCTTAGACCTAGCAGGGAGGCATCCATGAAATATTTGTTCACTAACCCCATCTGTAGAAAATGGCACAGTATGAAGAGGGTCAGCTGGTGCTTATGCAGGAGCAGCAGGGTCTCCAGCTCCAATACTGCATTAAGTCTCAAGGCCAGGAACATATTTATTGTTCCTTACTTGTTACAAAAGGAAAGTGGGCAGGGGAGGGGTGGCGAGGGAGAGATGAAAGTTATTTTAAGGACAGGTGGTGAAATATATTTTCTTTGCTCGATAACAACAGCAATCACTCCTCTGTGGCTTCCATACAAAGCAGCTCTTTTCTATGGAGATGAGATGAGATGAAATGAAAGTAATACAGACAGCAAACAGTAATAGTACACCCTAAGAGAAGACAGAGAGAGAGAGACAGGGAATGTTTACAACTTATATTGTTACCTGCAGATGGCAGATTGACTGTAGGCTGGACCTTCTGTGGCACTTAGAGCTTGACCAACTTGTGTCTGGGTAAGACCAAGGGACAGGCGTCGGATTTTAAAAGCTTTGGCAAATTCTCGGATTTCTTCAAGGTTCACCCCATCCACCTCACTTGAGGCTGTCTGGGGATCTAGGGGGGAAAATAGAAAATTACTTTTGCATGCCACGCCGAGTTGAATTAATTTAATTATGCCCCTTATTTATTTATTTATTATTCAAACTTATATGCCGCCACTCCCCTGGGGCTCAGAGCGGCTTACAAGAATGGCTAAAATCTAACACAATTTAAAACAATTTAAAAACAATTTAAAAACAGCAAATCAACAATCAAAGGTCTGTCAAAACAGGTATGTCTTGCATGCCCTGTGGAAAGCTAATAAGTCCCGCAAGGCACGGACTTCAGGTGGCAGAATATTCCAGAGTGATGGTGCCACTGCTGTGAAGGCTCTGCGTCTGGTTGCTGTTAGACGCAAGGTCTTGACACTGGGAATTTCCAATAGATCTTGGTCCTCAGAACGGAGGGATCTCTGGGGTTGGTAGGGGGTGAGGCGGTCCCTCAGATACATCGGCCCCAGACCATGCAAGGCCTTAAAGGTGAGTACCATCACTTTGAAAGTGATCCGGTGCTCAATTGGTAACCAATGCAGCTGTAGTAAGATTGGTGTTATGTGGCATCTCATCGGAATTCCCGCAAGAAGCCGAGCAGCTGCATTTTGTACCAACTTGAGCTTCTGGATCACCGACAGAGGAAGGCCAATGTAGAGGGCGTTACAGTAGTCCAGTCTTGAGATGACCGGAGCCTGGATCACCGTAGCTAGGTCATCCCTGGACAGGTAGGGGGCCAGCCGTCTAGCCTGCCGCAGATGAAAAAAGGCGGTTCTGCTAACGGCGGAGACCTGGGCCTCCATCGTCAGCAGAGGGTCCAAAAGGACTCCCAGCCTCTTTACCAATGATGACGGGCGTAGCGCCTCGCCATCCAGGGTAGGCAGCTGGATATCCCCACTGCCTGGTTGACCCAGCCATAGGATCTCTGTCTTTGCTGGATTCACCCTCAACCTGCTGGCATGCAGCCATCCAGTAACGGCCTCGAGGCACTGATGGAAATAATCGAGATGGCCTTCCATCTTCAGCACCAGCTGAGTGTCATCAGCGTACTGATAACACTCCACTCCAGTCCAAAACCTCGGACCAGCTGAGCAAGTGAAGTCCAATATAGTCTTTTTCATCCAGATGTCTTCAAAAAAATTAAATATTTCAAAACTGAGTTCCTAACTGAGGGCTGAAAAAGGGGCATGGGAAGGAAGAAGGGATAGCCAAACAGATGTCCCGATGTAGGAAGGATATTCAGTTCTTATATTTCCAACTGGCCCCTTTTTGTCTATAGCAACACAGCTAAAATGTTATTGAGGATATTTTCATCATGTTCTTTTGACTGGATTCCATGAACAGTTTGGAGGTCTTTCAAAAATTCTGTTCTGCATCATCACAAACAGTTGCCAGTGAAGATGCTGAAGTCCAACCTTCAAATAGTAAAGCTGACACGTGTTTTATTTTGTCTTTGGACCCTTGGAAGATAATGTCACGAGAATAAATTGGTCTTATTTCTGTGCACTGGCATAGCTTTTGTCCCCAAAGAGGCACATAATAAAAGCTCTGTTCCAGAGGCAAGCTCTTTTGGTGCTGGAAATACGGTCAATTTAGGACTTATCAAGGGAAATGACACAACAGCTGGAGAATGGTATCTCCCCTCCTTTTCTGCAACCGATCCCTTGCTAAATGAAAGCATTCTCCAAGCTGGTGAAGACAGCATGGGACTGGGTTGGTGGAAGATTTCAAAGGGTTGTTCAATGCTGTGCGTAGCAAAGCCATTCCCACAGCACGACATCTCTATTGTTTTCCAGCTCATTCTTGGGCTTTTCTGATGTGAAATGTTTTCTCCATAATAATCCACCCATGTCTCTAAATGCAGGTCATTAGAGGTCCACAGCTGACTATGTTGGTAATGTGCAGAACACTATATTATAATGTGTGGTGCTTGTAACTACTGAGAGCTCAGTCTTGCAATAGAATTACTGCACTAAAATTCCTATTTAGCAGCATTATGGAAAACATCTTACTCAGATTGGAACTTCCTATGAATTCTTCCAACCCAATAGCACTTTTCTAATTTTTAATCAAAATTAATTTGGACAACGTTAGCATTCTAACCATGAAAAGAACCTTGTTTTTCCATATAATGCTGCCCATCGACTAGCAGATACCTGTGAAGAGGCTTTAGTTCAGGCTCATCTGATTTGTACTGTGTACTCTATAAAATTAAAAGCAGGACTTTGCCCATCATGGAGCAATAGAATTCCTTCTGCATTGAAGGATAATTGAAGATTTTGGAAAAATCTGTGCTTTCCTTTATAAATATTATTACTACTGCTTCTTCAGTACCACTTTCGGGATGACCATACTCCAACTACCTTCTTATATAGGCTGCCAGAATCACCACAGGCCATCAGGGGGTGTGGGGAACCCATCGCCCCACACCTCACATCATCCAAATCACCAATAATCCCATCCAACAGAGGGAATCTTCAGTCGCTTGGCTTCCCTCCATTGTTGCTGGTGCAAAACAGGAATCCTCCCGTGTTGCCACCATGGTGGCATACGGTGGTTCCACAATTGTTTTACCACAGAGCCCTGCTGGAAGTAGTATTACATTGTGGGATGGGAGTTGGCAGGCTTAATGACTAAACTATCACTGAACCGGTATATGCCGCCGAAATAAGTCCCGTCTGATGAAGTCGTAAGTTAGAGGATGGGAATGGGGAGTCTGAAGGACCAAAGCTCTCAGTCAGGCCTATAGCCAGAATTTTGTTTCGGGGGGAGCTGAGTTTGATTCGGGGGGGGGGGGGGGGGGGGGGGGGGGGGCCTGAGTCTGAGTGAAAGAGGGTCTACCCTAGCAAACCTTTTGTATTGTTACCCCAATACCCCCATGCATATGGGATATATTGAGTATGGTGATCAGATCATGATATGAATAAACATAACAGTTTAAATAATGTACCAGTAAGGCCTTTTCGCGAACCACCATGAGAATTTGCCCCCCCCCCCCCCCGGCTACATGCCTGCTCTCAGTAGCTTCCATCATTGGCTATGCTGTCTAGAGAAGGACATATATGCCCACCTCTAGCCTTTATAACTGCTGCTACAACTGTTGTTGTTGTTAACTGCCACAAGGTCAATTTTGACTTAGGGTGACTTTGAATTCTCTCATGCATAGGGTCATCATATCTTCAACAGTCCTGTTCTGGTCTTGCGGGCTGTGGCTTCTGCCTATCAACCGGTAATGGGACTTTCCTCTTTTCCTATGGTCTTCCATGTTACTACCACCACCACCACCATATATTTGCTAGCTTGTAATATAGATCACATAGAGATAATTGTAAATTAGTATTGTGTCATATATTTTGAAATTCATTGTTAGCTATCTTGACAAAAATGCAGAATATACATATTTAAACAAATGGACAAAAGAATAAAAAGGGAGGGAAGAAGTTTTGGAAGCAGAGAGAGAAAGAGAGAGAGAGAGCTCTACTTACTGCTAACTAACTGGCCAACACTCAGAGCTGAAGATGAGGAGGAGGAGGAGGAAGAGGAAGAAGCCTGACGCACAGGGCTTTGAGACATAGATGCCTGACTGTGAGCCAAATGTAGAAGACTGGACTGTGATGCTGCTTGTCCCACTTGTGTCTGAGATGGCTGATGGAGCTAAATGCAAACAAACACACACAACCTCAGTAAAGAAATAAGTAATATGTTGTCATCACTGTGGTGAGTGTTGCATTTGATACAATGCATAGGAAATGATGGGATCCTTTTTATTTTTAAAAAGTGTCCTTGGAAGGACTAACAAATCAACTCCATCATAATAAATACATAAACAATAAAAAAACAACCTACAGGAAACTAATTCAGCAGCAAAATGCCAGATAAAACTGGAAACAGCAGAATGAAAGGCTATTGTTCCTGTGAACGTATGCTGTGGTTGTTTTCGTTTCCCTCCTACGCACACCTAATGGAATAACTTGTTGACCTGCTGGGCCATGAAATTCCACAGCTGGTGGTCCTACTGTTGAGCAGACCCCGTATTTTCCCCTTACTCTCCACACCTCTGCAAGTGGAGAGATGTTCAATACCACCTTCCCAATGACTGTAATTTGCAAGCGGCGATAAAGAGAACCAGAGTGGTGGTGTGGTTTGAAGTTGGACTTGGACAATTGGAGACCAGGGTTTGAATGCCCACTTGGCCATGGAACCCTACAGGATGTTCTTGGGTAAGTCACACCTACTCATCCTCAGCAAGAAAGGGCAAACTCTGAATAGGGTTGTTGTAGGTTTTTCAGGCTGTATGGCCATGTTCTAGAAGCATTCTTTCCTGACGTTTCACCTGCATCTGTGGCAGGTGAAACGTCCTCAGAGGTTGTGAGGTCTTTTGGAAACTAGGAAAATTGGGTTTATATATCTGTGGAAAAGGGTGGGAGAAAGAACGCTTGTCTCTTGGAGCTAGGTGTGAATGTTTCAATTGGCAGGTGAAATGTCAAGAGAGAATGCTTCCAGAGCATGGCCACACAACCCAGTGATTCCGACTATGACAGCCTTTGACAATACATCAAACTCTGAATAAACTCTACCACGGAAATCCTATGACAGCCTTAGGTTTGTCATGAGTCAGAAATTACATCTAGACATACAAGGCTGAAAATTCTAAATGAGCGTCCATAGAATGCAATTTCCAGGATTCCATGGAATGTTGCCATGGCAGTTTGACCAGAATCATGGCACTATAATTATATAGTGTGAACGACCTCTACGGAAGTCTTTACTTGTCTCTTTATCATATGTGGTTGGGAGTGGCAGGATCAAAAGATGGGCACCTCTGAAGATATCACACCTAGGAGTATACGTTCCTTAAGATAACTGTGACCCAAGGCCTATGGATGTCAAGAGCTTTGCTAGCACTGGAACAATAGAATTAGGTACTATGAAAGGGACTTGGACTAAGCTGCTATGTAGCCAGTGCACTAGTCTCATTCTGTTTCAGGACAGTGTAAAATGGATTATAGGGAGGGCAAAATATGAGGTAGAGCTATTTGAAACAAGGAGAAAGATATAGACTTTCTCAAGACTTTCTTGATGATTTAGTGCAGTGCTTCCCAAAATTGCCCCATTTGGGGCACTGAAATGATCCAGAGGGGCAATGGTGAGGTGAAGTTTGGGCCAGTGAGTAAAAATAGGGGGTGATGGAAGCATAAAGAAAGAAGAGATGGAAATTTTGAAAAATGGTCCATACATGTTTCATGTGAAGGATAGTGTTAAAGTCACAGTGATTACTTTTTATTAAAATGAACACAAAAATGTAAGTTATAACTGATCAATGGTCAGATCTGCCAAGCAAATGTTGGCAGGTGAGTGTGCCGAGCAAGGTCAGGAAGTCCGGCATGCATCAGCAAGAATATGTGCATGGAATGTCTTGTTTACAGTATGATACTATGCATAGGTGGCATGCATGAAATCTAATTTAGATTGTTTCAAAATTGTGACAAGCAGTTAGTAAGAGTGCAAGTGCAATAATTATTTAAAACTTTAAATTCATCCTGCTGACAAAAATGGAGCTGAAAATTAATAAATTGATACAGTACAACAGGTTCACCCTTCATTTGGAGCCCCTGGTGGTGCAGTGGGTTAAACCCCTGTGCCGGCAGGACTGAAGACTGACAGGTCGCAGGTTCGAATCTGGGGAGAGGTGGATGAGCTCCCTCTATCAGCTCCAGCTCCTCATGCGGGGACATGAGAGAAGCCTCCCACAAGGATGATAAAAACATCAAATCATCCGAGCGTTCCCTGGGCAACGTCCTTGCAGACGGCCAATTCTCTCACACCAGAAGCGACTTGCAGTTTCTCAAGTCACTCCTGACACGACAAAAAAACCCAACAAACTTCATTTGGGATTATTTTTAATGTTATTAATAATTTTATTTTAATATCATTCATTATCTTAATTTCCTGTGTGTAATTCAAATGTCATTATGGTTGATTTTAATAAATAATTTTATGATTTCAGGCTTCAAGGTCTTTTATTCACAACATCTTTCTTTTTCATGTTGCAGGATGTAGTAGTAGAAATATAGATACAGAAAATACAGAAAATAATGCAAATTTGTTATTGTGTCTTTCTGTTTGTTTGCTGAAAGAAAGGCGATTTCCAGGGGGCACTGATTATTTTTTTCTGAAAGGGGCAAAGGGCCAAATAAGTTTGGGAGTCTCTGGTTTAGTGACTGAAGGTTTCCCCTTATTACAAAATGAATCATGTCCACTTCCTGAATATTTCAAGAGCAAATCTGATTTAAAATGTAATTTTTTTTGGTCGTGTCAGCAGCGACTTGAGAAACTGCAAGTCGCTTCTGGTGTGAGAGAATTGACTGTCTGCAAGGACATTACCCAGAGGACACCCGGATGATTTGATGTTTTTATCATCCTTGTGGGAGGCTTCTCTCATGTCCTCGCATGAAGAGCTGGAGCTGATAGAGGGAGCTCATCCGCCTCTCCCCAGATTCGAACTTGCGACCTGTCGGTCTTCAGCCATGCCGGCACAGGGGTTTAACCCATTGCGCCACTGGGATTTTTTGCTTAAAATATCAATGCAATGTTATTTTTATTGCTTAAAAATGTGAATGGAATATATAGTAGTTTTTATTGTTCATAATAGTAAATTGGTTGTGAATGAGGAGAAAAAACAACCATGTGTAGCAAAGATATATCCACTAATCATCAATTAATTTAGGAACTAACATTTGTTACACATTACCTGCTGGCCTGGTTTAAGTGGTGACAGTGTGATTCCCTGGGTGTTGATCACTGGCAAAATTTGGTTTCCAATGACAGTTGCAATGATTTGCCCCTGGGCATTGGTCAATAACTGTGGCGTGATTGGCTGCACTTGAAGGCCCTGAGCTCCTCCTGCTGCCTGATTGGATGGGACTGGATTAGGCATCAATGGAATCGTTCCAATAATCTAAGAGAAACAAAAGTGAGATTCTATAGGTTACAAATATTTTATTGTGCGATCATAGAACATAAGTTGCATAGAACATTTCCTTTGACCCAAGGCGGACTGATAAAGAAATCGGAAAGTGTAATGTGTATTTCTAGCTGTGCCTGGGCATGGTTGAAATCCTCGGACTAGAGTGGTTTTCAAACATATTCTTGGATCCCTGGGTTGCATAGACAGCTTGCCCACCACTATGGGTCTTCAGGAAAATTTACCTTTTTAGATTACAAAATCCCCAGCTAATACTGACAAGGAATCTCAAATCTCTCTTTTTCAGTGAAGAGATGTTCGATGGCGTTAGGAAGCACTTCAGATGAGTTTGCTTTATACCAAGTCTATAAACAATTTAGAAAACATTTTCTTGAGTCTTTTTTCTGGAGTGGATTTTTGAAGTACAGACTACGTATTTTGAGAGTGCAGAGATAAATCAGTGAAAACCAGCAACCCCTGTTTTCTACATAACCTTTCATCAGCACTACTGAAGTGAGGGTGCTCTGGTGATGCCTAAGGTGCAATGCAAGATGCAATTGCATTACTCCTGTAAACATTTTCAGTGTGTGCTCACATTTTGACTCACTCATTGTAACAAATATCTTAGAATAATGTTGAATTAAACCATGGATTTTCACAGTATGGAAAATTGAATGCCTTCTCCCCACAAGCATATCTACCCCACCATCAATGAAGGAAACATATCAACTTCAATTAGTAAATGATAATGTAAGTGGGTAAGGTCACATCACTATATACAGAGGATTTCATACAAAATGTTCTTTATACTGACGAGGATGCAAATAACTTTCAATAATATGATATGTATTTTATTTTATTTATTTCTGGTATTTCTATCCCGTTCCTTCTCAAGCCCCGAAGGGAGACTCAGGACGGCTTACATTTGGCGGTATTTCGATGCCACTATATATAACAGAGCAATATAATAACAATTAAAACAATAAGTAAAACATTCATTAAAACAGTACTTCATTGTGATGAATTTGGCCATAAGATTCATGAAGCAGCTCACATTCTACAGATTGAGAATTAAAAATGAGCCAGATTTTTACAGTTAACAATTGATACTTTTAGGATTCTGTAAGAATAAATGTGTCAAGAGTCACCATCTTAATGAAAACAGGAATATCTCTGCACCTCTTCTTCATGTATATGCTTTCTAGGTATTTCATATTATCTATTATACTGTTGGCAGTGAGTTCCTACACTTTCCTACAGTGGCCAAAAAAAAAATCATCACTGTGAATCCACCATTGTCTGTCTTCATGATACACAATGACTTCTAGTGAGTGTCCTGGTTTTTCTGGGTTGAATCTTTGTCCTGTCTGACAATCTAGACCAGAAGTTCCCAAACTAAGGTCTGCGGGCCAGATACGGCCCTCCAAGGTCATTTACCCAGCCCTCACTCAAGGTCAACCTAAGTCTGAAACGACTTGAAAGCACACAACAACAACAATCCTATCTCATCAGCCAAAAGCAGATCCATACTTCCCATTGAAATACTAATTAGTAATTATATTAATTATTGTATTGTTTTAAAGTGTTTTTGCACTACAAATAAGATATGTGCAGTGTGCATAGGAATTCATTCATGCTTTTTTTCAAATTATAATCTGGCCCTCCAACAGTTTGAGGGACTGTGACCTGGCCCTCTGTTTAAAAAGTTTGAGGACCTCTGATCTAGACAGTTGGTTTCAGTCCATCTTGGCCCTATTCATGTCTAGATGAACATTGCTACCATCATCATTCCTCTGTTCTATTCCTTATGTCAATGCCACTGCTCCCCACTGGTCACAGAGCTCTGTCCAAGCACCTGTGGTTATGTCTACTGCTCAATGACTGGTGGGGAGCAGTGAGACACAGAGGTTGAGGTGATTGTTCAGCAGAGCTGATGTAGTCCCAGTTCGTCCAGATGCCAGTACCAGATTCAGCAGCTACGTTCTGGATCTTTGACTACTCTAGGGCAGATTTACAGTAGAGTAACCTGCCTAGTGTAAATGCAGCCAACCAGCATTTTTCTTTAGTTTTTTAATCTAACAACCTCCACCTGGAACCTTTGATGAAGCTGAAGTGAGAGAATACCATATGTCAAATTATGTGTGTTCTACTCACATCACCTATAAGATTGTGAATTTTTACTGCTATGTCAAACAGCATCTTTCTGAATAGACATACTTGGAACTCCTGAGTTACATTTAACTACACAGTCACATTAGGCATTCACTCTATTACATTTACGACTTCATCAGATGGGCTGATTTGCCTGTCATATGCCGCTTCCTCACTCATTTCACCATGGAGTCCATTACACAATGCACATCTACTTCTGGTAGGGTTCTGTGGCAAAAGGAGCGAGTAAGCAGCACATGCCACTGTGGTGGCGCCATGGGAGGCTTTCCATGTTGCCTTTGCTACAATAGGGGGAAGCCGGGTATTATAGATGCTTCCCCCTGTGGGATGGGGCTGGTAGTGAGTCAGATGATGCGGGGTGTGGGGCGATGAGTTCTTCACACACCATTGCCAGGACCACACAGATTTATCACAATGCATCACAAATCCAGTACCTAATGTGATAAGGTCATTAGAAAAGTGTTTCCAGCATTCACTATTGCCATTCTGTGAAGACTCCTTTTGTGTTTGATGTGGTCCACAAGATAAGCTCCTTTGATCTTTATGCTCCCCATGGGAATTATGCCATGAGAAAGGCCTTTCTTCCAGCCACTAAGGTAGTACATAACATCTGAATCAGTCATACACTGCAAGTGATTGGACTTACTCGTAGCCATTCCTCTGAAGTATTGCTCTGCTCAAATTTGGCTTAATACAGTTTCTGAAATAGGCACACTCAACAATCCTCCATTACTGAAAAAGCAAGACATTCACCTTTTAAAATCTCCTGCAGGAAAACAAAAATCTATGGCAACGTGCACTGACATTTATGTAAGTATTTTGGAAAGACGAAGCGCAGAGATTACACTTTGGCATTTGAAGCTATAGCTAGCTTGCTCAAAATTTAGTTTAGTGAACTAAGTTTTATCCTTTAATGTTTTGCACCCTGTAAAACTGAAAGAAGACTAAATTGTGAAGCATGGACAGTATGAGAGATGGAAAAAGGAAGTTGAAAATCACAAACAGCAAGAGTGGGTATGACTTGGGGGGGTCTCAAGATGTTTTTGGCCTGCAGTTCCTATCTATTGTCACCAGAGTAGCCAATGATAAGGAGTATTGGGAACTGGGTTCCAACAGGGTCTGGGGAGGTTATGAAATGCCCATCCTAATATACCACATTGAGAAAAAGAAAGACTTATGAAGGGGCTACCTTGTGAGTCATCCTAAGAACTCTATTATATGGAAGTCTATTAATTCTGTAAATGAACTAGCTAACTAACAAGTACTCAGAAGGCACTGAAGTATTGCAAAAGGCTCAAAAACATGTCCTCCCTTTTATTAGCTTTTTTTTTTGGTAATCATAGAAGTAAAAAAAAGGTAGAAGGTTTTGTTTAAAAAATCACTCAACTTCGGATATATGAACCATTCTGAAGGATAATGAGTGAAACATTACATGAAGCTGTACTAGTGACATAATAATGTAGTCTTTTTACGTCCTGGAGTTGGTGATGCAACTAAGGAAGTGGATTTTGCTAAGTATAAATCTGATTGTGAAATCAAATGGGCAAAAGACCTAGGTCATAATATTCTTATGAAACAATGGGAAGAAATTTGGAACAATAAAATAAAATACATAGTGGGTAATGATTTACGAGAAAATTGGTATAAAATGTTCTTTAGATGGTACCACACTCCTGTAAAATTGGCCAAATTTAACAAAAATCTACCAAATCGATGTTGGAAATGTAATAAAGAGATAGGGACCTTTTTCCACTCATGGTGGACTTGTAAACGAATAAGGAAATACTGGAAAGAAATTCATCTACTAACTCAAAAAATCTTAAAAATTAATTTTTCTCAAACACCGGAAATGTATTTGTTAAGCATATCCAGTTTAAAAATGAATGAAAATCAGGAGAAAATATTTTTCCTTTTATGTACGGTGGCCAGATTACTACTAGCCAAAGTATGGAAACAAAAAGAAATCCCTACAACTGAAGAATGGATCATGAAAATATTTGATATAATTCCAATGGACCGCTTATCCCAAAAACTGAACAGAATGCCAACCCCCCCCCCCCCCCCCCCCCCCACAAAAAACCCCCCACAGATTGGTCAGGTTTCAAAGACTTTATTACAACAAGAAAAATGACACTAATAATAGATCTGTCCAACATTTGAAAAAGACTAACAAAACAAGGTATCGCCGGTTTAATCACAGGAGAACCTGATTTACGAAGATCAATACTCTCTGAAGACTTTGGGAAGTTCCCTTACGAACAATTTTTCTCTTCTTTAGGTTTTTAAAAGTTTTTTTAGGTGTTTTTTTTAGGGTTATGGATCTTTAATCTATTTTAAACTTCACACTATTCTCTTCTTTCCCACTTTTCTTTCTATAAAACTCTTGATCCCCCCCTTTTGATGTAACTATAAAAAAGCACAATAAAAATTATTTTAAAAAAAATCTGATTGTCTTTTCACAGCTAATGTGGTCAGCTCTACTAGTCCAGAATGCAAATGATCACAACTGTTAGTATAACCTGAAAAGGTAGAAGTCAATATAGTATGTCTTCTACAAATGTTATGAAATCAGAATATTTTTTCTTTTTATGCTGTCAGCAACTGGCCTACAAAACAAAACAAAAAAAAAAGGGGGGGGGGGAGAATCTTTGCTTCACATGTCACAAAGGGCATGGCCTTGAAGTGTCACTTCTGGGCCTGTAACTTCAGCCAGCAAGCTTCAGTCCCCACAAGGCAAAAAAATGCTGCGCTAGTTTTATCAGTAATAGAAATGTTTGCATCCACATTTAAAATGCATTTCTTGGATTGCAGTCAGGCATTTT